CTCCGGACAGCAAATAAATATTTTAAACTGGTAGTTTATCAATTGTGATTCTTGGTTTAATAAATAAAATTTAGTAGATTTTTATCTACTACTATTTTTAAATAATTCGCAGGCTTATATAATTCATCACTTTTTAGTACTAATGTTATTTCTCTAATCATGGTATTATTATTGCATACCTGGTTATACCTGGTTACAATACACAGGTTATTCCAATTAACTTTTTTAATTATAATGATAATTATAAATGCGTTTGACCACCACTACATATAAATAATTACAATAAATATATAAAAGCATAATAATCCCTGAGCAAGCGAATTTCAACGGGATCAAAATACAAATATATTTTTGAGTCAGACTGTTTTTCGTTTATTGCTTTACAACCACTCTGAAAATCCATTCTCGGAAGGAGTGAAAGTTGGCAGGTATGTTATTGTAAAGCTACCACAACGACTGCTTATATTCAAAATGTTTATTACTCATTGTTGTAATTTCAAGATGAAGATCCTCTGGGGGTATTGATCTAGGAGTTTCCTTGTCTTCTGGATTGGTTCAAAATTACAAGGTTACGGATTTGAACATTGGTAGTCGTAAACCCAAAATTGGATCGGCTGTTCAACGACGGATTCATAAAATATTAATATAAGTATACGATTACTATGAAATGAATTAACAAAAACTAGTCGCCTATCTAGGGCTGTTTGTACTACGGAAAAATAAAAAGCTGGAAGCAAAAACATTTCATTCCAGCTTGTTTTCTAGAAATATTCCTGAATTCTTCGAAATATTCTGAAGGGGGGAAATATTCGGGAATACCAGACTTAATTAGAGTCTGACTTTTAATAACATAAAAAAAAACTAAAAGTGCCCTTAGAAATATTAAAAAAATGCCATTAAAAACATGAATAAATATGCACTTAAAAAGAATGAATTATTGCTATTAAATTGTCCTTGTTATCAAAAAAGAATTCTAATCAAAAACATCAGTAAAAAAAAAGGTTTGGAAATGGTCAAATATCTCGAGAAATATACATCGGTTCGAAAAGTTAAAACTGTCACGTTCAATATTTTTTAAAATCTGTTTAATGAAACCATACTCGATTTTTCAACCCCACCATCTGGGGACGGAGGAGGGAATCAACTTTGAAATTTTAAATCGTTATTGCAGATTCGGATTTTCCAGGAAAAAAGTAATTCTATTTGAGTTATAGGTTCAGAACTCAAATAGAAACACATAGGTGGTGCTGACAGAAGGTGCTGAAGCTATTTGAAATGGCATATCTAAAGACCCATCACATTAAAAACATAAAAATAAACTTGTTTAAAATTTTTATCGATTTTTTTTTCCGAAAAAGTAACAAAGCATTTTTATTTTAATTTATTTTAGTACTTTTTTTATTTATTTTACAATCGGATAGATCTCGAGAAGCCACCATTTTAAACAGTTTGTACCTGTTTTTAACTTTCTCGATTTTAGCGCCACGTGTGAAGCAAAGTACATAAACCAATAATTCAAATAAGGTTATATTTTTTTTCCTGAAAAACCAAAAATCTGCCCAAAAAGAATAGGGGTTCATATTGAAGATTCTAAAGTTGACCCCTGATGCAATTTCAGAGGTTAATGGTGAAAGAATGAATTCGGTATTTGAATAGCTTTTAAAAAATATTTAATGTTTAGTTTCACTTTTTCAATCCTATGTTTATTTCTCGAGATATTTGATTGTTTTTAGATCGTTTTTTACATTCTGTATTTATGTATAGCATTGGATATTAAATGCAATGCATCTTGAACTTTTCAAATGTGAAAAAATGTCTTGTATCCGAAAGTACTGGTTCCCCATGATATAAAGTTACTTTAGGAGTTAATGTTGAATTCCAATAGAATTCAGTTTAATCTTGAATTTGTCTCATGTCTTACTCATCCACAATGTTGCGTGAAGTTATTTAAATCTTTATTATTAAAGTCTTATGATTAAAGTCAGGCAAAGTGCGTGAAAGTTGTAAAAATATGTAAATTCTTCTAAAAAATTAAAAAGTACGAAAGTTTGAAAAAAATAACAAAACTTAGAACGAATTTTTGTTACTTAGGGTCGTTTTATTTCTTTCTAAAATAAGACTAATATGAAGCAGTGTTACAACCAGCTGTTTCATTTTTAATACCTTAAACTTCCCTGAGCTATATTAAACAATTAATATTCAAACAAGAAAAATACATATAATCCCTAGTAAAATAATAGTTTAATCATTTGACCCAGAAACGAGTTCTTTGTATGCTACTTCCTGGCGAATGAACTTTAATTATTCCTCCTTAACTATGAAAATTATCGATGACTTATTAGTTCATAGGATGTGATTCCTAATTTCAGGTGTAGGTCAACAAGTAGGTGTGAGATACGGAAGGTGACCTTGCCTGCCTACTTACCAGCCTCTTCATCAGGCGTTGTTTGTTTAGGGAAGCTTTTGTATCTACTCCTTCCAAAATTGGCAAAGATTACCGAAATNTTCATGTTATATAAAGAAAAGAAATAGGGCTTAGTTGTCTTCTAGAATTTTAAGTTGACAAAAATGAAATTAAATATAACCTAATACCTAAAAATAATCTAACTGCATGCATTGCAACCTCGTCGCAATTTTTTAACTAGTTCGAATAACATCATTTGACAGTTTTAGGCTAAAAAAGTATTTATATTAAAATGTAATTGATTGAGCTTTACCAATTTGCACCAGATGAAACATTTAGCAAATTAAATATAGAGCATAATCCCAGGCTTTTAAACATTTTTTTAAAGTAAATATTCAAAATTAGCATCAGTAAACGAATTTAGCATAATTTTTAAAGAAGCAAGTCTTTTTAACAATTCTTAACTTTTCTTGGATTATTTAAATAATATTTTTCTTTCAAAACAATTAGCACATTGATATCAAAATATCACGTACTATGTAGCCTTAATGGTAATTTTAATGTCAAAGAAAAATTCAAAACAAGAAAAGGAAAAAAAAGAAAGAAATTGGTCAAATTAACTGTAATAGATTTTTCTCTTTACCGCAGAATATTATCATTTAAAAATATATTATTTATTTTCTTCAAAAATTCAAAGTAAATAAATTTTTTAAGCAACAAAATAATAGGCAATTCCAGAGGGACATCTATTTCTATGCGAGTGGACAAAATTCAATGCAAAAATCACTCTTCAAAATAGAACATTGATTGAATTATTACAACAAATAGCTACGAGGGAAATAAAGGACACGCCTTCATCTCGACCTCGAAAAGGAAGCCGCCGATAGCGCGAAAGCCATTCTATTTAACGCAAGAACAAAATTCAAACGGTTTTGGAAAGAGAAAAGTTCATTATTTTATTTTTTATGTAAAACAAAAAATCGATATTTTTGTCCAAATCAGCCAAAAAAAGGTAGTCGGACACCTTAATATTCAAACAAGAAAAATATATATAATCCCTAGTGAAATAATAGTTTAATCATTTGACCTAGAAAGGAGTTCTTTGTATGCTACTTCCTGGCGAATGAACTTTAATTATTCCTCCCTAAATATGAAAGTTATCGATTACTTATTAGTTCATAGGATGTGATTCCAAATTTCAGGTGTAGGTCAACAAGTAGATGTGAGATACGGAAGGTGACCTGGCCTGCCTACTTACCAACCTCTTCATCGGGCGTTGTTTGTTTAGGGAAGCTTTTGTATCTACTCCTTCCAAAATTGGCAAAGACTATCAACGCATTAACTTTTCGTAATTTATTCAATGTATTGTTATTAGAGAAGGTACATTTTTTGAAGAAAAGAAGTTTGCCTTTTTCAGTGGTTTAAAAAAAATTTATAAAAGCCAGTAAAATATTGAATAAATAATGGAATATTGATTGGATTTAAATATAATTAAAAGTCTCAAAATTATTAATGGTTTAAAAAAGAAAAAACTCAGAAATGATTCCCGAAGGTTTTTAAAAGTCTATTTTTGTAAATTACCCACAGACATTTTTAATATTTTATGTACTACTAAATGCGTCCAGGGGTAATAAATGTATCATTTAACGTAAAAAACTATTTAAATTATTAAAACGAGTTTGATATTTAAAACTAAACTTTCATTTAAGAGTTATGCATAAGGTAAAACATATGCATTCACAAGGATCAGTTTTAAGTGCAAATAAAATAGAAAGATTTATTCTTTCAACATTCATAAAATTATGTCGAACGTTTCTTTTCTCGGTGCTTTTCATTTTAGATGTCATTTAAACTAAAAAATTTAAAATATTAATGGAATCACTAAACTGAATATGTGTTAATTTTCTTGTGTTTCATTTTCATTTCAGGCGTCGGTTCAGTTATTAAATTATGAAAAAAATTAAAGAAATAATGCANGAATAGAAAGATTTATTCTTTCAACATTCATAAAATTATGTCGAACGTTTCTTTTCCTCCTGCTTTTCATTTTAAATGTCATTTAAACTAAGAAATTTAAAATATGTTTTCATTTTCCTGTGTTTCATTTTCATTTTAGGCGTCGGCTCAATTATTAAATTATGAAGAAAATTAAAGAAATAATGCAGAAAAAAGAAAATCTCTTCTAATTGCTTAATTATAAATTAATTGGAAGAAAATAATTAAATTATGAAGAGGCTTTATAAACTTAATGTATAGAACTACTATTGAGAAAAATCTAAAATTTATTTTAAGGTAAATAATTTGCGAAAAATGTTTTAACTAAACAAAAACCAAAAGTTTGCATGTATACTATTTTTTAAAACATCGATTATTTAAATGCAATTATCCTTTCTTTTCTTCTAAAACTTTTAATTTTTTGGATTAAATTGTTAATGAGTTGAAAAGACAATGGAAATAATGCAAAATGCAACGGAGATGTTGACTTACACGTGCTGAAATTTGAAGGAAATTTGACTTGCACATTTAAGAAAGACAAACAATATTTGTAAAAAGGAAACAATTTTATTTATTTATTTTTAGTAAATCAAACTTAAAACTACTGAAAAATTAATTTTACGTTAAAAAATAGAATTTCAATGTATACAAACTGTAACCATTATTACGTTTTTTAATTTGACTTTTAACAATAAAATCTTAATGCGAAGCACAATTGCATATTACTTATTAATTTGGCACTGATTGGTTTAAAATAACAGTTAAAAAAATATGCCTGAAAAATGGGCGAATGATATGTTTACAGAGGAATGATTATTATGTCATATAATTTACATACAGAGTTTACAAACCAATAGTGGCTTATTTCAGATAATAATCTCGTCTCTTGTTGGATCTCTTCTTATAGGTATAGTATTTAGTACTTAAAGATATAGTACTAGATATAGTACTTATAGATATAGTACTTATAGATATAGTTATACATATAGTACTTATACTTTAGCAAAATTTAAAATAAAATGCATCAAACATAAAATAACTTTAGAATATAAAAAATTTGACTGGAGAAATTTGAACTTACTTAGTTAATCCTTTCGATGATCATTTTCCCCAGTGGTAATAAGATGGAATTTAAATTACAATTTTAGGTAGAAAAATACACTGTATTTTGATAAAGTTTGCGAAGAATTCTGCCGCAGTATTACACATTTATATATGTGCTTAATATTTTTAAAAGTAGTGGTAGTGAAAAAGATTATAAATTAAGTTTATAAATGCAAAAAATATATATAAAGCATACATTTTGCTACCACTTTAAAGATAGAAATAAAATTTTACGCCAAATGCGTAAAAGTTGGCAGGTATGTTACTACATTACAACAAATAGCATTTTATAGAAATTGTTGCTCGTACCCAGGACTGAAAGCCCATATATATAGACGGAAAAGTGCAAAAACTGGTAACAAATGAATTTCATTTTTTAATTTTTTTTCAGGAATAATAAAATTCTTTAATTACCAATTGTTTTTAACGAATACAATTTTTATATTGAATTGTTTATTGTTGAGAATAGATTAATTCCTCCCGAATATTATCTAATATTGAAATAGTTCTCCTACCAGTATTTTCTCTTTTCCGTCTCGCTTTCAGGCCTGCTCGTACCTCAATCTAGTAAAAGACTTAAGTTTCAATATAATATATTTATAGATCATTTGGGATATCAGAAACAAGAGCAATTCAAAATAAATACAGGTCAAACAAGTGAAAAAATTCTTCAGTATGTGAAAAAGGTTTATTTGGGGGACTTGCAACTTATACTCACTGATTTAACCCTTTGAACTCAAAGACCTCTCTCTGTGTTCATGAATTATCTGCAACTCTGATTGTTAAAATTTTTAGAGTTTAGTAACTTTTTTCTCTCATGGTCTCTAGGTGTTATATGGTAACAAGGTAAACAGCGGGTTTTATATAATAAAATCTTAGTGGTAGCGTCCATTTTTTATCTACAAAAAATACCTTGAGAGCTAAAAGGTAATAATAAATTATATGATAAGTATTGGATTGGTGGCTCAAAGGAAAAGTGTAAGCATCCCTATGAGGTTACCCGGATTCAAATCCCAGCGATGGTTGGTAGATGCGAATTCCGTAACTGGCTCGTACAGACCACGGCAACTGTCGTAAAATTCCACAGTAACTGACCTGGTGAAAAATATCCCCCGTGGTAGATGGATTATGGGTAAGAGTCTTCTTGCCACCAGGCTAACAGTGAGAGGTTTTGAGTGGTTTTCCTCTCTATGTAACGCAAATGTGGGTTAGTTCCTTCAAAAAAGTCCTAAGTAAGATGAATTTCACTCAATACTTGATCTAGGAGTTTCCTTGTCTTCTAGATTGGGTTCAAATTTACAAGGCTGAGGAGTCGGTTGTTCTTCGACGATTTTTAAATAAAATGTAATTACTGAATTGAGAGACTTGCTAAAATTACTTTAAAAAGGAGCAGCAAAAACCATTCTTAAGCAACTGTTGCTAAACAACATCAAATTCTTAAATCCGGTAAAAGACTTTACCTTTGATTTGATCTAACTTCTATAGACCATTTAGGGTATTTGAAACACCAATAACGATAGCTACGATTTCAACATAATTCTAAATAAAACACGTCGAACATGAGAGATAGCTTTAGAGGTAGAGATAGGAGAGGTAGAGCTTTGTAGATAGGTAGTCAATCTATCTACAACTCTACCTATCTACATAGGTAGGCTTTGTAGATAGGTAGAGCTTTGAGAGATAGAGATGTAAAAAGTTTCATTGGAATATTTACAGTTACCTCACTTTGTAATAAATACTCGATGGAGAATTTATTACTAAGTGAATTGCAGCACAGTTCTTTTAAAAATCTGATTTTCATTACTGATTTGATTGTTCACTTTGTTTACATCTAGGCATGATAAAACACTCAATTCATTAAGCAAACATTAATTTTTTTGCATACATTTAACCTGAGTTTTTTTTACAAAAAAAGTAAAATTTTTGTGCAGTTACAATTTTTTCTGCAACAAATGAATCAATGAAATATTAAACTCATGAAGTTTTTTTTTTGCGAAATGAAATGCATGTGTTCTAATTAAATATTATATTCATAATGCAGGAAATATATATTCATGGATTGTGAAAGAAGTGTTCGAAAGTTAGGTATAAAACAATATAAAGCCATAAAGCATTGGGATGTAGTTTCCAAGTGCCACTGGCAGCTTCAGCTGTGGGTGAGGTTTTTAGTTTTCTGCTATCTCTGCTTTCACCAGGATTGATTTCTTTCCACGTTGCCACTGAAAAATAGAATAATTTATATCAGAAAAAGAAATTTATTACAAGCAGGGATGCCAACTTTCTACGATTTTTGTAAAAATTTATTTTAGTGGTGGTTATATTTATGTTTTAATGTATGACTTTTTATTCATTTAAACTTTCTCCCTACACCACTTACGTGTAGAGGATTCAAAAGTTCATATGAAATGTCATTTTGTTCCAACTATCTCATGGTCCGGGATAGCCTGGTCGGTAGGGCCCTGGGCCCTTGTCCAAGAGGTCGTGGGTTCGATCCTCGCCGGCCGAAGACGGCCGGTGTAGTAAATGGTGACTGATGCACGTTAAAATTGCCGAGTCTCAAAGTCCTCCATGTTCCCATAACAAATCAATACCTCTGGGGGTACTGATCCAGGAGTTTCCTTGTCCTCTGGATTGGTTCAAAATTACAAGGCTACGGAGTTGAACATTACTAGTCGTAAACTTATGAAATTGGGTCGGCTGTTCAACGACGGTTATAAAATAAAATAACTATCTCATGGTGAGTCTTTAAAAATGCTGGCAAAATTACAAAATTTTGGAAAGCTTTGGATTTAAAATATCTACCGCTCCATCAAATATTTTGCCAAAAGCGTAGTAGTTGACAGACATGATTTTACTTACAATGAATGGATATTTTGTCTGTAAACCTATTTCCGTGAAATTCTATGTAAAAACTGTAGAATTTGTGTGTCAAGACTTTAAAAGACTCAATACTTGCTAATAAAAAAAATGTCAAAATGTATTATTTTTTAAATGCTAGGAGGTTCGCTCACCAACCACCCCCCGAGATTGAGTCTTATAGATCATCTTTTCTTTTCCTTTTAAGTCTATATTGTCAGTAAAAAAAAAGAGAGAGAGAGAGATGATTTTGTTTATAAAATTTATAATTTTATGCAAAAAAAATCTGCTTATATGTTAATCGTAACAAGCTAAACGATTACCCAGATTTGAAAAATAATCAATTATATTTGAAAAAAAAAATAAACATAGGAATATACGTTGTGTGACACTATAAAGTGAAATAATTGAAGAGAGTAATTTTACTCTTTAATGATATAAAATAATAGCCTTGCATCATTCACACAGTTCAAAAAATTGGATACTGTTTCTCTTTTGAGACATCTATATTTTTAAGAACTTCGACATGAAAATTTAAAATTTCGATGTAAATTTAAGATTTATGTCTGGAAATATCTAATCTGTCTCTCCTTTCGCATTATTTCTTTCATTTTATTTTATTTTTGCGTGAGAGTGAACTTATGAAAAGAATATTTTGAGTGAGATGAAAAATAATGCGCATCTTTTAAAATAAAAAATAAAAAAATAAAAATTATCCCACTCGAAATAGAGTTTATTTCCAAACAATTTGCAATTTCAGCAAGCGCTCATAGAAATTTCTTTTAAATTGAAAAATTAACTGATAGATACATATAGGTAAAAAAAATCTACATTTTTTAAATTTTGTCAACAATTAAAAAATCCATGTCATAGATAAAAATTCGGTCTTTATCTTTTCTACAAGAAAGGTCCCGAATTGAAGAAATTGGCGCATTATGGGTAATGGCGACTACCCATTAGAAATTTAAAAGTGTTGCCAGTTGTTTTGTGAGTAAAAATAACTCAGCTAAGATATTTCTACTTGAAGAAAGCATGTTTTAACTACGATATATTTTAGCATTAGTGTATTTTCAGGGAAAAAAAAGTATATTTTAACTAAGATATATTTCAGCATTAAGGTATTTTTTATTTAAATAAAGCATGTTTTAACTATGATATTTTTATTTAAAAGTAGGATGTTTTGAAAGAAATAGTTTAGCTTTAGGGAATTTTTATTTAAAAAAAGCCCGTTTTAACTACTATATGTTTTAGCACTAAGGAATTTTTTATTTAAAGAAAGCTAGTTTAAGATATATTTTAGCACTAAGGTATTTTCATTGAAAAAAACATGTTTTAACTGAAATATGTTTTAAAAGTAAGATATTCTATTTAAGGAAAGCATGTTTTAACTACGACATATTTTAGCATTAGTGTATTTTTAGTAAAAAAAAAATCATATTTTAACTAAGATATATTTCAACACTATGGTAATTTTTTTAAAAATAAAGCATGTTTTAACTATGGTAATTTTATTTAAAAGAAGGATGTTTTAAGAGAATAATTTTAGCATTAAGTAATTTTTTATTTATAAAAGAGCGTTTTAAGTACAATATTTTTTTAGCAATAAGGTATTTTTATTTAAAGAAAGCGAGTTCTAATTAAGATATATTTTAGCACTAAGGTATTTTCATTGAAAAAAACATGTTTTAACTGAGATATGTTTTAGAAGTAAGATATTCTATTTAAGGAAATTTTTTTTTTAACTGAAGTATGTTTTAACACTAAAGTTTATTTAAATATTTTTATTTAGACCATGTTTCTCTTTTTCCTTCTATGCATTATTCGCTTTTGCATGGAGACGTTTAAGCGGCAAAGGCTAAGTCTTACGTCGATGTAAGAATAGGTACTGTGTAGTGTTTATCTATATAGTTTAGATACAAAGAGAGAATTTCACTGAGGAATTTTAAGGCTTCTCAGATATTTCATGGTACTTAACGCACCGATAACTTAGGGCTATTTGTCATAAATATTAGCCGATGTTGTGCTTTAAGCGTTATTTTGTTCTAGAAATTAACATTTCTGTTCACTCACTAGTGACGATGAAAGTTTCTACCTAGAAAATTATACGATTTATCATGTAAATTGAACATCTTTTAAAATGAGACAATATAGAGTAACATACCTAAATTGTAAATCATATTTAATTATTAGAAACATAATTTTTTTAATCATATACAGGGAAAAATATGATGAAATATAAATTTATTTATACCATTTGCGTCTTTTTGTTTTTCAATTTAAGCTAGCAACCAGTATAAGATCGTTAATTTTGTCATACCGAATAAAATATATTGACTTACACGTTTTCTACAATGAGTTTTCTACAAGTCGCCGGTTATACTAAAATTAGGAATGCATGCATTTTGATAATTGTAGACACAAACTGCACGATAATTATAATTTATCTTTACTTATTATTGAGGGTTAATCAACCCCTGCTGGCGATCGTATCGTATTATTTTCGTATCGTTCAGTTGTAGTCTTTAGGTAATGTCTTCTATTATTATTATTTCTTTTTAAATATTATGCTCGTGCATAGAATAAACGCTTAATTTTTCCATAGAACTCGGAGAATAAACTTGTATGTACTGAGGTCATTGAAAAAAAGTAAAATATACAATAGTTGAATAGGCTCAATATTCTATAAAATTGTGCTGATGTTACCTAATAAGAAGTCTGTAGAGATATTCGTATTCTTCAACAACAACAAAAAAATCATTTAGATCAAGGAAACTTACTTCAACATTAAATATTTTTATAAGGAAACTTGCTATTACACACGGTAAGCATAAGAAATCAAAATTTAACACAATTTAATAAATGAATATCTTTATGTTTGTTTGTTTATAAAGAAAGTAAACACTTTGATACTATGAATGGCACTTACTTCTTATGCTCTCAAGCTTTTTTTGTTAGCATTACGCGTTAGATTTGTAAAATGAAAAGAAAAAAAGCACGTTACATTTGGTAATAGTAGTGATAATTTCCTTTTGTGTTTGTTTAATTAAAAAAACTCAAACATCCAATTGCCCTTCGAATTCCGCAGAGATATTCTAACATGCCAATGTCAAATCGAATATCAGCGTGCTTTATTGACTTATTTCTTTAAATACACAAACAGAGGTTGAATAAGGAAAAACTTTTATGCCTACTCTATCTAGGTAAACAATCTTTTTTTTTTGCATCAAATGCTTCGGAAGATTTTACATGGCAAAACTGATGACGCAGTTTGAGAGATCATACTTGAAGCTCATAGAAAATGTGCAGTTTTTATCCATGAAATATTTGGGTTGACCAAAATAACTTTTTTTTACCGGCGATTTTATAGTCTCTTTATAGGATTACAATATTATAATGAGAATTTTTTAATCATGGTGGTATTTGAAAGGAGAAAAGTTTTGAACTTTATGCGCTCATTTTTGCTGATGCAAAAAAAAAAAAAAGAACACCATTTTTAAATGTTTCAATTTTGATCTTTCAAGTTGTGCTAACAGTTATGCTATGTGAAATCCTTCAAAACATTCTCTGCTAAGAGAAAAATTGTTTGCATGGAATTAGCATAGGAGTGTTTTCAATATTTTGATCAACCCTGTGTTTTAATTATCTGTATTTTACTACTTGTTCTTTGAATGACTGACAAAAGGAATACAATTCTACTTACACATCTAAGTTTGCATAGTTTATCCAAATACGGAAAAAAAAAGAAGTGGCGAAAACTGTATAATTCCGATTTCTTGTGATGTGATTCCCTAAACTCCATCCATTGGAATTTCATTAAGTAACATACAGTTAACATTTAATCAGTTGCTTAAATTTTCTTTTCATTCCACAGTTTAGGCATAATTGTTACCATCAGGAAGAAAAGAAATTAAGACGTTTTCTAGAGATTATGTTAGCTTTAATAATCATGAATTTTTGAGTTACTGAAATTCACTATTATGCCACTTTTAACCTTCATTCACATAGATCTGCTTTTGTTCTCAAAACTTTTCATCAGAAAACTTACCACCAGGACGGCCGGGGAAATCTTTGTATGATATGGGTGTTCTTTGCGTTGTAAGAAACCACCACTCATCATATCCTAATGTTGTACTTTTTAACAGCATTCTGGAATGATTCCATCTCTCAATCGAGCTGTTTCGTGGAACAAAAGTGTCATCTGTTACTGTATGAAAATCCTGAGCTTCATCCATAAAATGCGTAGCTTCACTTACAGTTGAATTTTCCTTTAGATCTGGAATAAAGTTTGATTAGTTTTTTGAATGCATCAATAGAAATAATAAAATGTGGCTTGTTTCAATTTTCATCTACAATTTCGTAGTATTCTGGGTATTCCAATGGTTTAAACAGCCTTTTACCTCTCCATCCTGTGATACTTAGTCTAGTAGTAGTTTCGATCATGAATTAAAGGAAAAAATTAAGAGAAAAGATTGTTTTACAAGACTACAATATGGATGCAAGAAAACAATTGGTAATTGTTCTGTGACTGCACCATCAGTAATTATTATTTTATTTTATTTTATCCATCGTTGAACAACCAATCCAGAAGACAAGGAAACTTCTGGATTAGTACCCCCCAGATGTATTGATTTGTTATAGGAACATGGAGGACTTTGCAACTCGATAGATTTAACGTGCATCAGTCACCATTTACTACGCGGGGAGTCTTCGGCCGGCGGCGATCGAGCCTACGAACTCTTGAGCATGGACCCAGTGCCCTACCAAGCAGGCTATCCCGTAATTATTACCAGTAATTATTAGAGTATGATGATTAGAATCGACGGTAGTACCAATGAGCGTGACTGCAGTGCCTATAAAATTATCAATTTATAATCGATTACAGCGCCATGGACATGCAGTGATAAAATAGTGAAATAGTTTGACCCTGGGGTAGGCCTTTGTTTCAAAAATCTAGAAATTGCATGATTATCTTCTGCTATCAACTTTCTACGCTTTGTGGGAATATGTGGTCTAGTGATTTTAAACTTTACTGTGTGATTCCTTAATTTAGTTATTTTCCACCCTACTACATGTGAATGATTCAAACATTAATATAGAACGTCACTTTCTTCTCTTTTTGTGTGGTTTGGTTCTTAAAATGTTTTTAAAACTAATCAGAGCTCTGAATTCGATTTCTGATTGTCTGAAACGCTATAAAACATTTTAGAAAAAGCTTTAAATTTGGCGGTTTTTCAGTGGAGTAGAAATCTAAGTCACAGCTTTGCGAGGGGCTTTAACTTATTCGTCTGAGTGATTTTTATTAAGAACGTGCTTATAGAAAAAATATAATGAAAAATGGGTTGGACGACTTTCTGACTCGACTCCCCCTAGAGATTTAAACCTTAGAGGAGTATCTCTAATATCTCCTATCCCATCCCGATATCTATCCCTAATAACTCCTCTAAAGTTTAAATCACGAGCTTCACGGGTGCACAAAGAGACGTCATAGTTGGTAGTTCGTAGCTGTGGTTTGTTAGATAGATTTAATTTGCATGTATAATGATGGTGGATAAAAATATTCAAAATACAAATTAATTAAATCAATAATAAAATGAAAAAGCATAACACTCTAAATGTTCAAAGAAATACGACAATAAATCAGGAGTTATTGGCTTTTATGAGTCAGCAATGCCAGGGCCGCCAACATTCTACGCATTTTAGGAAAACTAAGTTGAGTTTACTTCTTAATATATCAGGGCTGTCCAACTGGCGGCCCGCGAACCACATTCGGCCCGCCAACACATATTGTGCGGCCCACCAACTTCTTATTCAGGCTGATCGGCCTCTGTTTTTCCATTAAAATGTAAGCATATTGTTTTATCAACCTTCTGTTCCATTGTTTTATAATTAATAATTCAACTATTAATTGTTATTGTATAAGAGGTTATTGCTCAACTTTTTCAAACTGCGGCCCGCCAGGTGATCAGTGACCGGAATTCTGGCCCGTGGGATCTTTGCAGTTGGACAGCCNAATGTCAATTCCTTTGCTTCGCAAATTTGATTTAAAATTATTTTTCGAACCATAACAAGGAAATAATTCAAAAGATTATGTGAAACACCACTTGATTAACGTTTTCGTGCGATACGTTTCGATAAATTGGGTTCTTGAACTTCAAAAAGAAGGAGATCTCCCATACCCACACATGTGACATATGACGTCAGCGCCGACTTATCTTTATCAGCAAAATGGCGTATAACTTGATGCGCTTGGTTTACTCGAAATATAATGGAAAGAACAGTTGCTAACGTAAACAAATGGCGCGTTTCAACAACCAATCAGAGATCGAGATACCCACATTACGTCACTTGCAGGTATCCCATTCTACTACTCTTAAAAATAATTTGCCTAAACCATAGCCAATGGCAGTCCTGTCAAAGTCCTTGAAGCTAATTTCTCCCATTTCAGCGAGAATCTTTTATTTAAGGAAAAAAGTAGTAGGAATAATTATACTTTATAATCTTATCTTTTATTTCAAAAATGTGATGAATTTGACTGCCAGCATATTTAAAAAGATTTAAATAAATTTAAATAAATATCTAAATTCTAAGTCTGCGCTGTGAAAATTACGTCTTAATGCATTATCGTCTTTTTCCTACCTCACTTTAAGCCGAAGAGAAGTATGGACCAGGATTTAAAAAAATCCTGGTTAGGAATATATTATTAAATTGCATAAAAATTGCAGCTAGTGGAGAGAAACTGATTGCAAATTTGAAGTCAACGAAGCAAAAATATCTAAGATTCGTTCGAAAATCTCACGCAGCAGGAGAAAAAATAATTACCGCTCAATGTTATTGAGATGTGCATAACTTACTTTTTATCAGAATAATTAAGAGTTCAACCGCTTATGTTTAGAGATCTTTTAAAACCTTAACTTACTAATGAAAATGCATTATCAATTGATAAATCACAAAAAAATATATTTAGCCCTTAAGCATTCACAAGGATATAAAATTTAAAGCATTTATTATGTACGGGAAACAATTTCAGTAATTTTCACTGTTCTAGAGTGACATAAATAAATTATGACAACAAAAACTGTTTGAGCGAAAGATAAACAATTCGGTATAGTTAGAAATATCGTTTTTTGATTATAATATGTTAAAATTATCTATTTTTAAATTCAGTAGGAGTTATTTTTTCCGTTGAATTTAAACAATAACGATAAATACTTAAATCATAAATTTGTTTTCAAGAGATAATCATAACTAGTATAACAAATTCAGAAACATGTTAAATTATTTGATTTTAGGTAGAAAAGTCACAGTTTTATTTTAAATTAATCAAATTACTCATAAAAAAATTGAAAAACTAAGACAATATTTTAAATCGTATCATGTTTTTAAATGTAATTGCGAAAGTTCTAGGGCATAAAGGCATCTAGCATCATTTTCCAAAAGCTATAAGCAAAGCATGCGCTCACTATGTTCAGGTTGCTACTAGAACGCAGCGGTATTCTACCTAACTGTAAGCACTTATCAAGATTCTGAATGTTTTTTTTTAGTAAAAAGTTGTGTTAAAGCTGCTTTACAGTTAGCATAGAGCTATCATTTGTATAAACTATTAAAATTGGGGCCGGGATAGCCTGGTTGGTAGGGCACTGGGCCCATTTCGAAGAGTTCGTAGGTTTGATCTCCGCCGCCCAAAAACTCTAGGTGTAGTAAATAGTGACTGATGCACATTAAATTTGTTTAGTCACAAAGTCCTCCGTGTTCCCATAACAAATCATATACCTGGGGATACTGATCAAGGAGTTTCCTTGTCTTCTGGATTGGTTCAAAGCTATGGAGTTGAGCATTAGTAGTCGTAAACCCAAAATTGGGTCGGCTGTTCAACGNATAGATAGATAGATAGATAGATAGATAGATAAACTAATAAAATTCTTACAAAGGAATGAAAAAATACTTTTTTCTTACTTCAAAAATTTCAAAATACTTAAAAAGTTATTTACATGTAGAATGTAGAACTTACATGTATGTTTCTTTAGAGTTTAAATACGAAATGTTTGGCTTTGAATCCAGATCAATCATCGTTCGGAAAATATATTATACAAATAAAAAAATGCCTCCCATTCAAATATTTGAGCAATTCAAATATAAGGATAAAATTAAAAGCGTGAAGAGTAGGAAACGAGGAATCATTTTCAAAATGATAAAATCAAGGAAATGAAGATTAAGGAAAAAAATTGCTTGAATACGTGGAACAATTGCTTTTAGAATATATATATATGCTTGACAACTGCCACGTTTTTTGTAAAATACAGAGTGGTAGAGATTTAAAAATCAAAACTTTCAGAAATTTCATTAATTTTATTAACATTTCAATAGAATCACCACAATAAAGCTAAAACTAAGTGGCGTTTTATATGAATTCTTAAATCATTTATACGTAGTGGTGCCTAAATTAATTTTAAATGAATAAAAAAAAACATTTGAACATTAACCTAGCCCCCACTAAAAAACATTTTTACGAAAAGCGTAGAAAGTTTATATATACAGAAATAGTATGTTTTTTCGATTTCTATAAACCTTAATTATTGTAATTACCAGTGGATTTCTTCTAAGATAGAAGTTATTTTACTTTTTAAATAGCATTCATATTAGTGCCAGCTTACTTACCTCAATGCTCAATCAAAACAGTGTTAAAATTACAGATGAATGGGATAGGGGTCGCTTCGCGGCCCAGGTGCCCAATCTAGGGCTAGGATTGATATTAGTCGTCCTGTTACTTAACATTTACACTCCGATGTCGCCTCTGAGATGCAATCAACAGTCACCACTCTAACATTAAATTTTGTCATATTTTAATGACTTGTAACCACACTGTGTTAAGCATTTGGATAAAAAATACTGTATTATGTATTTTAAGTGATTTATATCTCATATTAGTTTAAACAGCATCTTAAAGCACTCGGAGTCTGAAGGGAAAATTTATCTTTTCATTAGCGTTTTGTAACATTTGTATTTGACAAAACGAAATACATTTAGTGACAGCTTGGACTGGGATTCATATGCAACTAGACACCTTAAGCTGCCCATTTCCCAATATCCATAAATGTCAATTCAGAAATCAGTTGAGTGATTTATTGTCAAAGGAACTTTCATCCTTATTTCATAGCTATTAACTTGTACAGTCATTGAAAAAGATATTTTAATTGAGGAAGTAAAACTATATTTCAGGTATAAACCGTACTTCTAATAATAAAGCTATTCTCCAACAATTAACTTTTTGGATTATAATGGTAATTATAAATGAGTTTGACCACCACTACATATAAATAATTATAATAAATATATCAAAGCATAATAATCCTTGCGGAAGCGATCTTCAACGGGATCAAAAAATAAATATATTTTTGAGTCAGATCGTTTTTCATTTATTGTTTTACAACCACGCTGAAAATCCATTCTCGGAAAGAATGAAAATTGGCAGGTATGATATATGAACTAATAAATCATTAACATGTAGATTTTAAACAAATTTACTTAACAAAGAATCATACACTGAAACATAAACATTGCAACACCTAAAAGGATTTTTCTCGCAAAACGTAGTAAGTTGGTAACTCTGGCATACCTGCCAACTTTTACGCATTTGGCGTAAAATTTCATTTTCATATTTAAAGTGGTAGTAAATATATGCTATTTTTTCTTTTATAAACTTAATTTTTAAATGATTTTGATCACCACTATTCTTAAAAGAATTAAACACAAATATTAATGTGTGTTTCTATCATGGTTGCCAGCTTAAGTTTTTTCAAATGCAACGTATCTTTTGCTTAAAATTGAAATTTTAATTCCATTTTAATACCACTGGGAAAAAAGATAATGGAAAGGATTAAAAGTTGGCAGGTATGTAATTGGAATAACCTGAGTATTGCTACCACTTTAAATATGAAAATAAAATCTTCCGGAAAATCCGGAAGAGTTGGCAGGTATGACAGAGATGCCAACTTGCTCCGGACAGGAAATATATATTTTAAAGTGGTAGTTTATCAAAAGAGATTAGAGGTCTAATAAATTCAATTTTTATCCACCACTATTTCTAAATAATTCGTAGGCTTATATAATTCACCACTTTATATATAGTAGTTATTACATGCAATGTCTTTTAAAAAGCAAGCAAAAATAGTCAAATATTTGCAAAATTTACTTTGTAGTTATTTACTGTTTTATTAAAATTATTTTGGCGTGTCCGGAACAGTTGGCATCTCAGAATACAGTCTTGTGTTCATGGAACAAAAGCGCACTATATCAAAATTGTTTACCAAAAGAAAAGACAATGTTCCAAAGTGTGTTTTTTAAAGAAAAAAAAAGTTGATTTTTCTGTCCGCTTTTTTTCTCTCCAAAAAATCTATGCGTTAAGGGGTTAATAGACTTTTATTATTTTTTTGGTCACCAAAGTTTACATTTTTATGCTTACGTATCATCACTGTCGGTTTTAGATGAGTTGAGGTATTTTATTCGCGCTCTGTGTTGACTTTTCTTTATGTAAATATAAAATAATTTCGTGTTAAAATATTTGGAAATATCTGCTATCTACATTATTATGCAATTGATAAAAAAACTGATCTCCCGCTAAGAACTTCAATTTCATTATAATACAGAAATTATTTAGTCAATTCAACTAAGAGGATCGTTACTTTATGTTGCTGTGAAATTATGACATATTCAGGAAGTTTGTAAATTAACTATTGAAGCATATATTCTTTTCAAAATGAGGATAGGTACTATGTATATATCTAGGCTAATTAACTACCAATAAAAATAAAAGCATAACCTAGACATCCTAAAGGGAATTAATTTAACGACCGGCGACTCTTCCTGAACTGGATGAAAACAAGGTTACGCATGCAAATTAATGTTTTACTTCTTGGTTTTGTTAATCAAGATCATAAGTGACACACAACCCCATTTTATTTTGTTTAAAAAATTCAAACGTAAGTGTTACATATTTTGTTAAAATCAGTGAAACAAAAACGCCATTTATCCACAGTTATTATAGATAGACACCCAATTTAAAGGTACTTTTAAACTCATGATACAATTTAAAGGTACTTTTAAACACATGATACAATTTAAGGGTACTTTTAAACACATGATACAATTTAAAGGTACTTTTAAACACATGATACAATTTAAAGGTACTTTTAAATACATGGTACAATTTAAAGGTACTTTTAAACACGATGCAATTTAAAGGTACTTTTAAACACATGATAAAATTTAAAGGCACTTAGCCTATTGCAAGTAAATTCAAAATTCTTTCGTTTAATCTAATTTTATTTCATTTTTTGAGGCGACGGGAATTTTTTGAAAATATTTTTTTAAAACAATATTGAATTTACTCGCGCTCGGCTACTGAAAAAGTATCGATGTAAAAACTAAGATTTAAACTGACTATGAATCTATGCTATTAATTATCTGATTAAAATTAAAACTTGGTGTAAAAACTTTAATTTAAATCTTTATTTAATTCTGATTGAATTTAACTTACCGCCCGGCGATTTTCTGAAACAAGATATTAACAAGGTTACACAAATTGAAGTGTTAACTTCTTGGTTACGTAAATCCTCATCACATGAGATGAATAATTTCAATATTTTTATTTTGTTTTGTTCTAGAAACTTCAAACCTAAGAACACATCTTTTGTTGAAATCAATAAAATAACAGCGCCATTAATGCAAAATTTAAGGCATTTTTCCGTTAGCCCTGTGCAAGTAAATTTTATTTAAGTTTATTTTCTGAAGGGTAAAGTCCATTTTTTTTTATAAAAGTTTAAAAAAAATTGAATTTACTTACGTTCGGCTAACGGGAAAATACATATTTAAAATCCGAGTTTAGCATGTATGCTTATAATAATATAACTAAAATTCAAGCCTAATGTAAACATTTTTGCATTTTTTTTTAAAATTCTCATTTACCGGATTTAAGTTACCAGTCTGCGATTCTTTGGAACAAAATATAGAAAAGCTTACACAGTCCAGATGAAGTGTTAACATCTTAGTAACTTAAATCATCATCACAAGTGATAAATAATCCCAGTTTATTTTTATTACCAGAAACTTCACATCTTTTGAATGAAATTAGTGACTTGATGAATTGATTGAAATAAAAAAAAAACAAGAATGCTATTAATTCAAACATTAAGGCACTTTTCCGTCTGCAGACCTGCCAACTTTTAATCCCTTCCATTATCATTTTTCCCAGTGGTATTAAAATGGAATTAAATTTCAATTTTAAGCAAAAAAGTACGTTGTGTTTGACAAAAATTAATCTGACAGCCATGATAGTAACGCATATTAATATATGTGCTTAATTTTTTTAAGAATAGTTGTGATCAAAATCATTTAAAAATTAAGTTTATAAAAGAAAAAATAGTATATATTTACTACCACTTTAAATATGAAAAAAGAATTTTACGCCAAATGTGTAAAAGTTGGCAGGTATGCGTCTGCAAGTAAATTTTATCTTCTGGGATATGACGGCAATCTTTTAATTAAAAAATTAAATTGGCTAGCGGAAAAGTAATGATTTAAAATCTAAGATTTAAATTGGCTATAAATTTATGCCAATAATAATGAAACTAAAATTAAAGCCTAATGTATACATTTTCGCAAAAATTCCTATCTATCTCTCATTGAATTTTACTTACTGATCGATGATTTTTCCGGAACAAGATATTAACAAGGAAGGTTACATACGCAAATTGAAGTGTTAATTTCGTGGTTATGAAAATCATCACCACAAGTGGTAAACAACCTTAGTTTTTTTTTTGTTCAAAAATCTTATAACTTCAGTTTCACATTTTTTGTTGGAATCAATAAAACAACAGAGACATTAATCCAAAAGTTAAAGCACTTTTCCGTTAACCAGGCGCAAATAAATTTTATTTAATTCTATTTACTAAAAGGTGACATAAATTTATTTTTTAAAATTTTTTTAAAATTTTTTTATTTATTTACATCTGGCTAACGAAAAATCACATATTTAAAATCTAAGATTTAAATTAGCTATAAACCTGTGCCAATAATAATATAACTAAAATCAAAGCCAAATGTAAACATTTTTGCAAACAATTCTTATAAAATCATCATTGAATTTAACTTACCGACCGGCGATTCTCTGGAACAAGATATAAACAAGCTTACACACACACATTGAAGTGTTAACTTCTTTGAAACGGAAATCATCATCACAGGTGATAAATAATCAAAGTTTTTTTTGTTCAAAAAACTTTAAAAAAAAAAGTTTCACATCTTTTGTTAAAATCAATAAAACATCATAGCCATAAATCCGTAGTTTATCCGAGCTCGAAGAAGATCCTGTTATCAACACATGATGCTTCGGTTTGTTTTGCCTTTGTATGCTTCCGGCCTTGACAGAACACTTTCACTCTTAAAAAAAATTTTTATAAAAACTTCATGACGCTACGCACGAAAAAAGAAACAGGTTTTGCCTCTTCCCCCTCCTTTATCCTTAATATAATCTGCTGTAGGGTTTTTTTCGTACATGAACTGTGACAACGGAATTCCTATTTGGAGTCCTCTGATACTAGCTGTAATTTAAATATTTATTCTTTTTTCTTGAGTTATGGCATCTAAATAACTTCATGGAAGAAAAATATGCGAGTAAACATAATCACTTATGGAGGCATGCTTCGGTGGTAATTGATGTTGAAAAGATTATAGAATTTTTATAATGAAATTTATAAATTATTTATTACGTATTTTCGAAAATATTAAGAACGTGCATAATACTTAGTTAGAAAAGTGTTATTATTGTAATGAACTGCGTGTCGTTTTAGAGTGATGTTGGTTCAAGCTTGTTTCACAACTATTGCAAAATATTTCTATAGTTAACTATCTCATTGCAACTTAAAATTTTTTTTTTACTTAAATTCTTTTTTTTCCCAGCTGTATTGGCAGTAGCCAATAAAAAATAAGAACTTGATATTCAACTAATTTTAAATTTAACAAAATGTTAAACCTTTATCTTTAACCCTTTAACTTTTCTTCCTCTAATCTAATCTATATAAGACTACTGTTGCGAACATTTAATTTTGGCATAAAAAAACACTGATTGGGAAAAGTGACAGGAGTTTGGTTAGATAAATACAAAATTATTAGATTGATACGAAATTTTCTAACGTTCCCTTTTTTATTTTAAAATATACCTCATAAACCAAGACGGAAAAAGAGCAAAAACTGTTACAAAAGGCTTATCATTCTAACATTTTTTTTTGTGAAACATTAAATTTCTGCTACTACCGAGATTTTTGTTGCAATTATATATATNTGTGTGTGTGTGTGTGTGTGTGTGTGTGTGTGTGTGTGTGTGTGTGTGTACATAATAACAGGGCTACATCCCTGTTATCATCGTTGTATTCAGCTTTAATAATGCAGTCATAAGCCGTAATACGTTCTAAAAGGGTTTATTTATAGGTAGGCTGGTGGTTATAACAGTTCACATCCCCACTGCACAAGGGAGGGAGGTGTCGACAAAACTCCGGATGGTTCTGGCAGATCTTACAAGGAATACACGATACAGCAAGAGTCACGTGAAAACCATCGGTCTCGCATTAAATACTTATAGAAATTGATTAAAAAGGCTCAGTCTTGTAACCTTACTCATTAATGAAAATCATTTAATGCTTCCTAATATGGAAGTGAAGGAGGGACAAGATTCTAACAATAACTCCTCCTTTGAAATATAAATCTAATTATAATCCAATGGTATGTTTTCAGCCTTGAAGTCCCAAAATAGAATTGATACACCTATTCTTTACCAAAGACATTTTATGGAAGCAAGAGAGTTTTAATGTTGTTATTAATGCAAAAGTATTTATAATTTTAGTATTATATATATATATATATATATATATAATACTAAAATTATAAATACTTTTGCATTAATAACAACATTAAAACTCTCTTGCTTCCATAAAATGTCTTTGGTAAAGAATAGGTGTATCAATTCTATTTTGGGACTTCAAGGCTGAAAACATACCATTGGATTATAATTAGATTTATATTTCAAAGGAGGAGTTATTGTTAGAATCTTGTCCCTCCTTCACTTCCATATTAGGAAGCATTAAATGATTTTCATTAATGAGTAAGGTTACAAGACTGAGCCTTTTTAATCAATTTCTATAAGTATTTAATGCGAGACCGATGGTTTTCACGTGACTCTTGCTGTATCGTGTATTCCTTGTAAGATCTGCCAGAACCATCCGGAGTTTTGTCGACACCTCCCTCCCTTGTGCAGTGGGGATGTGAACTGTTATAACCACCAGCCTACCTATAAATAAACCCTTTTAGAACGTATTACGGCTTATGACTGCATTATTAAAGCTGAATACAACGATGATAACAGGGATGTAGCCCTGTTATTATGTACACACAGAAAATTTCTTATTATCTTTATCCTTGGAAATATAATTAATTTTGAATTTAAAATTTCGTGTAAAAATTATCATTTATATTATATATTTTATTAAAAAAATTCTCATACAATGAAACAGTTCCTTCAATTATTATGCTATTAAGTATTGTAAAAGAGACCTATCTTCTACTGGTCCATTTTAAACCAATCATAATCTAGCGCTAGTGCAAACATCATACTTTACCACAGTGCATTGAAGCATTTCTATTTGAAATATTTTGTGTGCATACACTCTGATTAATATACAATTCTATATCAAAGATATTCAAGACAATAAAGAAAATGTAAGTAATTTTAAAATTAAATTTAGTTTTAAGATCAAAAAGATTTTTGATAATTTTTGAAGTAATTTATGAATTTTTACATCATCGTATATTATTGAATGGTTTGGGTATTATTTATTCGTTATATGTATAGTAAAAGTGGTTTATACTGTCATTTATCATAAAAAGGACTAAATTTAAGAAAATTCTTCTTAGCCTCATTCTGCTTAATAAGTTAGGCAAACCTTTTTTCAGTCTTTAAAATGCTTTGATCATCAAATTTCACAATACCTCACCTATGGGTTGTTAATAGGGTACCATGTCCAAGAGTTCG